GTGTTCTGCGCCGCGGTCGAGGTCATGATCTGACCCGCGGCCAAGTTGCCGTTGACAGGGCTTGCCGTCTGACCTAGGCGCCCTCGCCTTAACCCAAGCATTGTCATCGTTGTGTTAACATCTCGTGTGCTAGCTCTATCAATAAAAGTGTTTTTAGCCACCAAGCTTTTATTACTTCCCTGTCACCAATGTTTAGAGGTCCCTTATTTAACCCCTTACAAGGTTTACATGATACCCTGGTTTTGGTACTCAGGAGAGAGTGTCGCTATCGGTAACAAATACCATTATTATCATTATTATTATTGTATTTTTAGTAATTTATTTGGTTTGCATGACCTTCCTTCTTGCAATTATTCCTTCTATCAGTTATCTGTGCTGTAGTGTGCATGAATCTTATTATTTTCCATTGCAGGTGATAAAGATTATTGTTAAAGGGAAATCCAAGAATGGCTGATTGCTGCGGTCTTACTCTCCACGCAGCATTTGTCTTGACCCATTTTCTTCATTTCTGATGTTATTTTTTGCATACACATAGTATATAATGTAACACTGTGTATTTTTTTCCTCTTTGATAATTATAGTGCTATTATATTTTCCTGTAAATGTAAACCAAAGTATTAACTTGGTTATCAACTTGCAAAGGTCATACTATAGATGAAAAGTGTCTAATTTTCAGTCGTTCAGCCCATTACAGGCTAGTTTTAGTTTCACACAACCATATGGTACAGGCTAAATACTGTCAAAATGAAAGTGACAAAAAACACTCTTATACATGAAATAATCTGCACAAATAAAGAATGATGACAGGAAAGGAAAACAGGAAAAAAGGTCATTACAAATACCATGTGAAGAGTAAGTCCATAGAGATTGGGTGTGGGTATGGGGATAGAGCTCCTGATAGGGAAATACAGTGATCAGGTGCGGGGATAGGGGCAGATCCACTGGGAGGAGGGCATGATGGATTCCAAGGAAATAACAGCTGCCTTAGTGAGAAATTAGAAGCAAAGGAGAGATGTTAAGTAAATGAGGCTAAAAAGAGTCTTTAAGGGACTGTACTCCTCTGAGAGGAAATGCATCCCTTTGGCAGGATTGAGAGCCAAACATGTGAAGTTTAGTGCATACAACAAAGAGCAGTCTTGACTGTGTGTTGCATAAATTTTTGCCATCTGGCATTTAGGGTCAATGTTTTGAATATAGTACTTGCATGACTTAGCTAGGGTCAATGTGTAGAAGACACTATATTCTGGTAAATATAGACCTTGTAAACTTGCAATTTACATCAATTAAAGAACCAGTCTAAGCTTTATCTCGTGAGAATAAATGTTTTGGTGCAATGTTGTTCTTTGGCAGAGTGCATAGTGCCAAAGCTGTGGCAGTATGCTTCTAACAGATTGGACTTAGGATATAGGCCGTCCTACACAAATAAAACTTGAATGCCCCTGTGGATGCCTTTAGAAATGCATCCCTTTGGCAGACATGCTTTCTTATCTTTTGAATGTTGTATTTCTTTTTTATTTCTAATGAATGAAGGATTGTAAATTTGGTAAAAATATTATAATCTTGCAAAAGAAACCACTATGCATATGTCTGTAAAGTATTAGGGATCTATTTAAGATGTAAGAATTATGACAAGTATTGGAAACTGCTCTGGAAATTGAGAGTGAAGATGAATAATGGGTGCTTAGCCAATGGGGAATGTGTTGAGCAGAGTGCCGCTGCTCATAAATAAATGAATTAATGAAACCTTATGACATTTGAGCACTCTTGCAATGCAGAGTACCAGTGCAAGCCAAACCAAACAATATTAATATCTTGTGGTGTTGAGTGTGTAGCAAGCAGGAGTACTGGCATTTAGGAAAGTTTAAAATCTTGTTCATAATTGAGCAAATGTACAAAAAATTATATCTTACATTTCATCCTGCATGCAGTATTTTATTGTCAAACATGAATATTTTTGTTTACAGATTTGGGTGCTGCAGTTTGGCATTAGGTAAAAATAGTTAAAAAATAACCCATTAACGGTTTGCTCTACTGATAAAGGCAAACTATTTGTCATACACGTAATGTTTTATGTTATATTGTTTTTTATGTCAAATAAGTAATGTGAATTTGTATATTCAAGCATATTCATTTACTTCCTGTTTGAAGTACAGTTTAAATTCTTCAAAAAAGAAGAAAAAGACAGTCAGTCACACAGACAAACAGACATCTATATAGATATACAGATATAACTCATTCACAAAAAAACAAAATCTGATCTTTACAGAAAATCAGTCAAGATGGGGTTGCTCAAGAAGAACATGATGATAGAATTACTCCAAGGATTTCTAGGATACCCACCAACAGAGCAACAGATTGCAGGCTTCCTTTCCATTGTGAAAACAGGTATGATTTTTTTTTTTTTTTTTATATGCTTGAAAATAGTAATTGATATTACCTTTATGATATTTGTTATTGAAATTTTTTTCCCTTGCCTGTTGTCATGGGGGTCTTAGGAGACAGAGACTGAGGCTCAGTGTTGGGGATCTCCCCTACGTTGAGCCCTTGAATCAACTAATTTTGCATGTTTTTTTTTCTTCTACCTTCCTGTTCCTTATCATCCCCAACCCCTTCCCCTGTCCAATTCCTAGGGTGTAAGAGCCGTGTTGAAAGGATGAAAGGCTTTCTTTGTGCCAGTCATGAATGGGCTTAGGCAGCCATGGGTATGTTATTGCCCTTACCTTACTTTGGTGTCTGTGATGTAATATCTGTACACTATTCCCCTTTACAGGCCGCCTTAAGTCCCACATCAATATTGCCAAGATTACCTGTCGTACATATGACCTTCCCCATAAGGAGGAATATCATGCCCTCTCAGATCATATCAACCCCCACCCTGTCAGTGTTAGAAATGAAGGCATTTTGGCCACCCTGCAAAACACTTGCTCCACAGTCCACTGCCCTCTATGTGCCCAACCTGATCATGACCATTCAAACTGCCCAGCACAATCACTTATATGTGCTAATTGCAGTGGTTCCCATAATTTATTTTACAGGGGTTACCCTGCCTACAAGTTTGAGTCTGAGATTGCAGTTCTCAGGTACAAACTTGGCCTCACTCTATGATAGGCCAGACAGGAAGCATGCTGATGAGGTTTTTCAATCACTCCCTACTCCAATAAAATCCTTCACTCCACTCCTATCCTCTCTACCCAATTAGTTTCTACATCTTCCTCAGTACCACTTCCCCCTACTCCTCATCTTCCCACCTCTACTTCCCCTATTTATGTCAAATCCTTTTTCCATCCTAAATCCAAATACTGGTGTACCCACAACTCCTCTTATGTCTCTCCCTATTCCTCAATGTTCCATCCCATATCCAAACACATCCTTCCCATATCTACATCCTTTACTTCACAGATGCCTATCTTTATTTCACCTCTTCATAAAAAATATCTTGTTTCCCAAACCTCCCCGCTTAAATCCCCTCCAGAAACCCTTGAGGTCATTAAAAACTTCCTAAGTAAGACTCGAGAGAAAGTTCCTCTCTCTCATCCATCCTTCAATTTCTCTAACCCCATTCCTGCTACATTCAAAGTGACTGCCAACATCCATCCATCCTCCTCTTCATATTCCCCCTACCCCTCTTCCCTCTACTCCCTCTAAACGTACCCAATCGTCTCCACCCACACCAAAACCCCCTCCTTCCCTACTATCCCTACCACTCCCCCCTGGATGAACGTGTGAATTCCTTTTGACAAAATGTCTTTCCCCAGATCCCAACATCCCTGATGGACCTCCTGATATTACACCATCACCTCCTTCCCCTGATCCCACCTTCCCTGATGAACCTCCTAATAACTGCACCTTTAACCCCTTCCTCTGATCCCCTACCTCAGTCCCCAGGTTCCTCTCCTCCTACTTCTCAGACATCCATATCTACTATTTTCACCTGCTGATTGATTCACAATGACTCTTCTGCAGTGGAACCTTTGCATTTTTCGTACTCATAAGCCTGATTTTTGTCATCTCTAACACATCCTCCAGTACTGATTCTGAACTATTTTTATATCAACCCCTCTATTTCTATCTCACCTTTACTCATCGATCAAAAACTGCCGTACGCTAAACCTCCCTTCCAAACCACTGTCCCTTTCATTTTTCTCCTTCTCTTCCCTTTGACATTAATGTCTTTTGAAACTTTACTTTCTCATCTTCTCCTCCTTCTCCTCCTCCTCCTCCCCTTCTTCCTCCTCTTCCTCCTCCTCCTCCTCCTCCTCCTCCTCCTCCTCCTCCTCCTCCTCCTCCTCCTCCTCCTCCTCCTCCTCCTCCTCCTCCTCCTCCTCCTCCTCCTCCTCCTCCTCCTCCTCCTCCTCCTCCTCCTCCTCCTCCTCCTCCTCCTCCTCCTCCTCCTCCCCTCCTCCTCCTCCTCCCCTTCCTCCTCCCTCCTCCTCCCCTCCTCCTCCTCCTCCCTCCTCCTCCTCCTCCTCCTCCTCCTCCTCCCCTCCCTCCTCCTCACCATCCTCCTCCTCCTCCTCCTCCTCCTCCTCCTCCCTCCTCCTCCTCCTCCTCCTCCTCCTCCTCCTCCTCCTCCTCCTCCTCCTCCTCCTCCTCCTCCTCCTCCTCCTCCTCCTCCTCCTCCTCCTCCTCCTCCTCCTCCTCCTCCTCCTCCTCCTACCTCCTCCTCCTCCTCCTCCTCCTCCTCCTCCTCCTCCTCCTCCTCCTCCTCCTCCTCCTCCTCCTCCTCCTCCTCCTCCTCCTCCTACCTCCTCCTCCTCCTCCTACCTCCTCCTCCTCCTCCTACCTCCTCCTACCTCCTCCTCCTCCTCCTCCTACCTCCTCCTCCTCCTCCTCCTCCTCCTCCTCCTCCTCCTCCTCCTCCTCCTCCTCCTCCTCCTCCTCCTCCTCCTCCTCCTCCTCCTCTCCTCCTCCTCCTCCTCCTCCTCCTCCTCCTCCTCCTCCTCCTACCACCTCCTCCTCCTCCTCCTCCTCCTCCTCCTCCTCCTCCTCCTCCTCCTCCTCCTACCTCCTACCTCCTACCTCCTACCTCCTCCTACCTCCTCCTACCTCCTCCTCCTCCTCCTACCTCCTCCTCCTCCTCCTACCTCCTCCTACCTCCTCCTACCTCCTCCTCCTCCTCCTCCTCCTCCTCCTCCTCCTCCTCCTCCTCCTCCTCCTCCTCCTCCTCCTCCTCCTCCTCCTCCTCCTCCTCCTCCTCCTCCTCCTCCTCCTCCTCCTCCTCCTCCTCCTCCTCCTCCTCCTCCTCCTCCTCCTCCTCCTCCTCCTCCTCCTCCTCCTCCTCCTCCTCCTCCTCCAATCTGCTCCTCCAACCTCCTCCTTTTCCACCTACCTCCTCCTCCTCCTCCTACCTCCTCCCTCTTCCTTGGTTATTTCGTAATTATAATAGTGATTACTTTCTGGATAATATACTTTTATTTCTCTTCAGGAAACAGTGAACATCTGTGCCTTGGTGATGTTGCAATTCCTCTAAAGTCCCCAGCGGTAAAATACATGGAGAATATGACCACTGCTCTTGGTCATTACATTAGAGACCGTAATGAGGAGAGCTACAGTGTAAGGGATAGTTGACTCTTAGAGGTTAACAGTCTTAGATTGAGTCTTTCTATCTGTTTGTATGTTTATGTGGGTGTGTGTATGTATGTTTGTGTGTGTGTATATGCGTATGTCTGTGTGCGCGTGTGTTGTCAGGGGTTCTTTTAATCAGTTAAGTATGACCCTTGGGTGATTAACCAATTCAAGGAGAAGATAAATAACTAAGTTGTTTATATCAATATATTCACAAATATATACATAAGGTGTAGTATAGAAACACTGGGGCAGCCGCAATTCACCTGGTTTGTGGCAGCCGTAATACACTGTGGCAGCTATTAATTCACCAGTGTTACACTTTCTTAGACTCAGAAATATTATATATATTCACAACCACACAAAAAAGATAACTGTTTAACATTCATAGAAACACAAATTAGATATATACAAAATCCCAGAACATATTTATATTACTACTTACACAAGTGCACAGGTGTGGAGATTTGAGTCAAGTAACCGGTCGTACTCGGGTACTCACCGACCATGATTACGAATGTTTTGAAGGAGGTGTCGGATATGTGGTTCAGTGCAAGAAAGATAATGGCTCACTCAGTCTAACCACACACACATACGCACACATATGTAAACAATAAAAATAATCTCAAGAAGAGGGAAACTACCTCCAAAACCCTGTAGATCTGTATATGTTTATGTGTGTGTGTGTGTATGTTTATGTGTGTATGTGTGTATGTTTGTGTGCATGTGTGTATATGTTTGTGTGTGTGTGTGTATGTTTGTGTGTGTGTGTGTATGTTTGTGTGTGTGTGTGTGTGTGTGTGTGTGTGTGTGTGTGTGTGTGTGTGTGTGTGTGTGTGTGTGTGTGTGTGTGTGTGTGTGTGTCTGTGTGTGTGTGTGTGTGTCTGTGTGTGTGTGTGTCTGTGTGTGTGTGTGTCTGTGTGTGTGTGTGTCTTTGTGTGTGTATGTCTTTGTGTGTGTGTGTCTTTGTGTGTGTGTGTGTGTCTTTGTGTGTGTGTGTGTGTCTTTGTGTGCGTGTGTGTGTGTGTGTTAAGTGTGTGTGTATGTGTGCACATATGCACATTTGTCTTTGTGTGTGTGTGTGTGTGTGTGTGTGTGTGCGTGCGTGTGCGTGTGCGTGTGCGTGTGCGTGTGCGTGTGCGTGTGCTTGTGCGTGTGTGTATGTGTGTGCATGTGTGCGTGTGCGTGTACATGTGCATGTGCATGTGCATGTGTGTGTGTGTATGCGTGAGCGTGAGTGTGAGTGGTGCGTAAGCGTGTGTGTATGTGTGCACATGTGCATGCTTGGGAATGTGTGTTGATATGTGTGTATCTGGATAAGTGTACCTTGTTTTCTTTTGAGTAAGAGTGTCTGTCATGATATTTATTTTGAATTTATAGATTTTATAAGTTTAATGTTGCAGTAGCATACTGGACTCCCCTGAAGTAGACTTATGAATTTATATTCACACATATTTTCTTGAGACTATTTGGTTTAAGTTTGAGTTGGATATATGTTTCTAACCATCTTTATTAAGAATATCTAGTTGCTGTAGGTTCCATGTGATGTCAAAATAATATCCTAACATTTGTTTGTTTTCCAGGCTGCCCTCAAGTCTCTGCAGAAGATTAAATTCCCAGTGAGTAAGATATGGATAGATAAAGATATCTTGTATGTCAAATTTGAAAGAGAGAAGCTCATGAAGTGTATTTTAAAGGAGGTATCCAGGAATGGGTACAACTATGGAAAGAGCAAACTGATGTCATTTATGGTAAGAGTGAGAACATCTTTGTCTCATTTTTTTCTAACTCTGGATTTAACCCATTGCCGCCGGGGAAAATGAACAAAAAATGAGGGAAATGCAGTACTCATTTTTTATATTTTTGTGAAATATCTCTGGCCATAGATGCCTCTGCTAGTCCTGATTTCACTTTTCCTTGAATTGGCAGGAAAAAATGTATTCTTACTAGTGCTATAAATATAGATGGTCTTATTTTTAACAGCAAATTAGGATACTGTTATTTATTTTCATAAATCGATGAAAAGGGTGAACGGGTGAGACAGGCAGTACTGTAATTGGCTCATTGGATACTTAGTACAAGTGTAGCCATCTATGTGTAAAAACAATCGAACAAGTCGACTCACAGTGGGCATGGCATGTATGTACATGCCATCCCCGGCGGCAATGGGTTAATATTTTAGAGAAAGTTCCTCTGGTTGGTCATGATATGTTGTATTCTTATTAGGGACGTCACTATGTGGTATTATGGTTTGTCTTATGATATTCAAGATTCATGTTAGGATTGAATATGGATGAATCATTGCTTGTAGGCCTAATTTCTTATAAGGTATTCTGATTTTTTTTTTTTTTTTTTCCAGAAAATTACAATAGAAAAAGGTGCAAGCGGAGAGTCATCTGCTCCAGCAACTTCACACCGTGGCCACAAACTTGCTTTCCACGTTGGGGAGATTCTCAAACATGCTGGTGCAGCCGTGGAGCTACAAGAATGTGATGAGAGCAAACCCAGAGGAGAGAAAAGGCAAAATCCTCCGGCACCAATATCAAATGAACAGAAAAAAGATGGTAAAGGTACTTTTAAGCGTCCAGGACATTGTCGTCCTTTTGCTCCTACAATAGAACCAAGTGCAAATGTCGCTGGGGGTGAGTTTAAGAGGCTGGTGGCGGCAGGCATGTCAAAACCTGAGAGAGAAAAAAAGAAACAGCAAAAGGGTATGCTCAAGGAGATGTTAGATATTTTGGATCCATCAGTTCCCTTCCAGCCTCCTAAGGACCAGAAGAAGGGACTTGTAGAGGAGATAGCTGATGCTTATAAGGACATTAAAGATATTATAAAGTCCTCAAAAGAACCAAAAACAGAGACAACAAGCTATACAATAGAAAATGTCACAGAGGAATCTTACCCATCACTTCGTGATGATAAAATTTTTAGGAAATGTTTTAGCAGTCATATGATATCTCACATAGGAGGGACAAAAAAGCAAACATTTTTGCTACCAAGGAAAGTAATAGCTAACCCTGTTACTCCAACAGAGGAAGAGGAAAATGAGATAAGCCTTTGTTTTGCAAGAGAACCACTTCCAACTACCATGATTTCCAAGGCAAACCAGTATCTCTTTGCTCCAGTTGTTCACATGAAAACTAACAAGGTGTGGGATGGATCAGCGGAAGATTTATGCAAGTAGGTTTTGAGTTTTTCAAATTGAACAATAATTCCTGGTGATTTCTTTTGATCTGTAATTTATGGAATTCCTTATTTATTAATCATGAATTGTCATGAAATTATTTGAAGATGGAATATTTTCCTTTTCTTTCTTTCTTTCTGTCTTTCTTTTCTTTACTTATTTTTTTTGTTAAATTACCTTCTCTTCTGTTTTTTTTTTCTTGTTCTTAGGATTGCTTTTGTAATCTAAAGACTTTCCCTCCACAGAATCTTGGTAGAGGAACTGAAACGAGCAGCTATGCAGAAACATGGAGACATTGATACACCAGAATGGAGCCAGTTCTTGGAGGAGCAAGCATGGAGATGCATGAGCCTCCAGATGCTTAGTGTCTCTCACTGCTCTCCACTGAAAGTAGAAGTGGATGGTGTGACTCAGAACTCGAGAGGTGCTTAACTCATTGGACCTGGATGCGTCACTGCCATCGCGTGGCCCAAAATATAGGCATTAGGCTGATTTGAGAAGCCACTTTGACAGCTATGCAGCTTGTAGGCCAGGCACAGGAATACATGTTTGCGGTGACAAGACTCCCTTTGCAATGGTGTTTTTTTTTTTTTCTGCATAACCATTTTTAGCTTTTTTACCATTATCTAATATCTATATTTGTCATTTAATTTGCTTTATCCAGATGGTAATAGACTTCCGTTCACAGACTCCACATCATATATTTAGGTAGTCCGTAACTAAGTGCAATGGTAATAAATGTAAGTATCAATATTTGTGTCATTTTAAAATATTTTCTTGTAATCAATTTTCTGTGATACAACTTACACTGCTGGTCACTGCAGCCAGGGATAGGATCATGAGCATGGAAATAGTATCTTCATGGCTCACGGATGGTACATTCCATACTTGTTTATCAATGGATATAATGCAAAAGCCCCTTCTTAAATACCAGATAAGTCTAATCAACCCCAAAGAAGTTTGTGCTCTTGTGGCAAGTCATTCTTGTCACCCCATCCTTCAGCTGAGATATTCACAATACTAGAGGAGTTTGTGTCACCCTTGGCTAACAGCCAAGGGTGATACTCTCATTAGGGGCATTAAGGCTTGTGCCAATGTCAAGTAGCCTATCTAAATTTGATTACTCTGGTGTCCTGATCCCAGCTCTGACCACTGATACTAATACCCCCTCCTTGATGTTTTTGCTGTCAGCTCTGTCCATTCTGAATCATCCTCATGGGTCATTACATTACAACCTTCAGAATGCACCCTTTCCTCTCTTCTGACATCCTCCACTCTATCTCCTACTGTATAGTCTTTTCAATGTCTACCCTTATTACTATTCTTCGTCCTCATTGTCCTCCTCCCCACAGTACTAACTCACTCTGCACCACCCCATCTTCCTGCCACCTTAGTCCTTCTACTGCACTGATGATCTTAGCCAAGGCAGATCATTTAATTGTGATCCCTCCTACAACCCCTTACACTGACAGTACTCTCCTCTCCCAATAATGTCTCCCAAAAACAAAGAGGCAAAGTTTCCTTTTGCAAACGTTCTGCTCATTCATGCTTTGTCACAGTTACATTTGAGTCCTAGGCTTCTGCACTATATACCCTGACTGACCTCACAGGCAGACCTATTCTTGCCCAACCTCACTCCTCCCCTGGATTGTTTCCGTCTCCCTAGCTGATTGTGCTGTCTACGAGAGTAACTGGTCAGACTGTGAAAACAACCTGCTTGCCTGCCTCATTGACTAGGTTGTAGTGGCAGTACAGAGCTACACCAATATTGCCAAGATTAGCTTTCGTAGACATAACCTCCCCCATGAAGTTTATATTAGTGTAGTGTCCTGCCCTATCCATCTGTATTGACCTCTTTCCTGTCAGTGTCAGAAATGTTCATGATCATTGAAATCACTCTGCTGAATCATGCATGTGTACTAACTGTGGTGGCTCTCATAATGTATTTTATAAGAGCTGCCCTGCCTACAAGCTTGAATCTGAGGTAGCAGTTCTCGGATTCAAACTAGGCCTCACTCTAACTGGTGCTAGATGGGGAAGCATGCAGACAAGGTTTTTTCTCTTTCTACCTGTTCCAAAACTGTCCTTTGCTCTGGTCCCTTCCCATCTTCTCAAGATTTCTTTGCATCTCCCCTAGTATCTCTCCCCACTACCTCAGACCTCTACTTCCTCTCTTCCCCAGTCAAGTTCCTTTTCCAGTCTAAATCCAGATACTCCAGTTCTCCAATGCCTACCCCTCCTCCTCTTCCTCACTCTGCCTGTCTAAACATTCCACCCCATCCTCTCCTACCACATCCTCTCTTCTACCCACTTTTTCCTCTGCCCCATGGTGATCTATTCCGTCTTCTCCTCCAACATCCTCTCTTCAACCCACTTTTTCCTCTGCCCCATGGAGATCTATCCCGTCTTCTCCTCCTTGCAAGAAAACCTTTATTTCTGACTTCCCTACCCATCTCGCCTCCAGAAACTCTTGAAGACATCTAAAACTTCTTAATATGACTGAAGAGAATGTTCTACTCCCTTATCCACCCTCCAATCCCTCTATTCCTGTTTGCTTAACCCAATGGCGCCGGGTGTACAAAAAAAAAACAAAAAAACTCTATGCTTAAGCAAACAAAGGCGGCGCGCCGACTTTGAGCGCGTGAGTAGGGGACATCAGCCCGAATCACTGGCTCGCCGCGGACTCGTTTGGCTGCACGCCAGCTTTCGAGTGCTTTGTTTACACGCCGATCGACATCACCCGGCACCAAGGGGTTAACATTCAAAGTATTTGCTGATATCCATCCTCTTCCTCCTAAAGTTCTCCCTACTCGTCTTCCTCCCACTCACCCCAAAACATCACCATTCCCTCTTCCTTCCCCATTGTCCTTCCATTCCCACTTGAATGCTTACATGACACTCATGTCCCATGTCCCCTCCTGACATTCTTCCTGATTCTTCACCACCTTCCCCTGTTCCCTTATCTCATTCTCTGGATTCTTCTACTTCTCCAGCTACCATTTCTACCCATATTATATTGATTGATTGTTTCATAATGGTTCTTTTGCAGTTTTCTTCATATAGTGTTACTCTTCTTTCCTCAGACACATAGATTCTTTCCATTTGATCTAATCACCCTATACCCTTAACCCTTCCCCTTTTACAATTCCCTATCGTACTCCATCTGCTCTCCCCTCTTTACCCCTTTCACTACCATACTATCTTACTACACCACAACCTTTGACATCTAACATCTTCCATCCTATTCATTAACTCATTTTTACCCTTTTCATCTCAGTACTTGATGAAAAGGGTACACAAACATCACCTTATGAACCAGAAAACTTGCTTAGCCAGGGGCTTCACCCCCAAGCATCTGTTGATGTTGGCAGAAAATTTTCAATTAATAGTAAATAAATATTACTGCACTGTGAGTTGTGGACTACTTAGAGATATGATACGTAGTTTCTGCAAGGAAATCTGTCTATTGCCATCTGGATACAGCATATCAGATAACAAATATAGACACTGAAAAATAACAACAACAAAAAAAAAGAAGAGAAGCACATCAGCAGAAAAAGAGATAATAGCATTGTAAAGGAGAGTGTTCGTGGGGGCCAGGCCTACAAGCTACATGCCTGTAAGAGTTGCCACTCAAGTACGCCTATGCCTGAATTTTGGGTCACACGCAGGCAGTGAAGCACCCAGATCCAATGGTTAATATACCCAGCAAAATCTGATTGTGGATGTTGATGATTTTTATATATATAAA